CTGCTGTGAGAGGGACATGGTAACCCGTGATCTTACCATGCCGTTCTCCTCCCTACCCTCCCTGACTCTTCTTCGTGTGTATTTAGCTCATCTTACCAGATCCATGTCTCAGTATGGCATTCAACACTGCATTTCATCATCTGATTCCTGCCTTCCCCACTAGGCTCATCACCAGTCACAACTACCAATACTCCAACAAACTGAAGTTCTCAAAAAATAACACTCTCTCTAGTACCTCCACACCTTCACATGGAATGTCACTCCTCCCATGTCTGCCAGACTCACACCTGGACAGGCTTGATATTCAGCGTAAACACGACCACCTCCAAGACCTGCTGCAGCCCCGCATCCCGAGTGTGGAGCCCTCTTTGAGCTCCCCTAAGCACCTGTGCATACCTCTATCACCAGTTATTTATATGTGTTTATGTTCACATCCACATACACCATGCTGTGTCATCACAGGTATTTTTCTTATCTGGCTCTCCCACTCGACTTTGAGCTCTTTAAGTACACAGCCCCTGCTCTGAAACAGTGTACAGTCTCTGAATAAAGACAGATATGGCAGGTGTACAAGATGTTTAAGAGAACACAGAAGAAGGAATTTCTCCGCAGAGAGGTGGGAGTCGGGAAAATGCCAGGAAAGACTTGCAAGAGGAAATATGAGCTGAATCTTGAAGGATGAGCAGGAATTCACCATGTGGGTGGTGAAGGGCCTTTGATTCAGAATAAGCCGAGAGGTATGAGCAGCAGAGTCTGGAAATGCAAGGGTAATCCCCCGTGACTGGGTCTTACGGTCAACAGTCGTCGTTCAGAGACAAGGCAGTTGTCAGCATGAAGAGCCTCGTACTCAGAGAATTAGGATGCTCTCCCTAACTGCAGATAACCAATGCACTGTAAGCAGCCGATGGCCCAATCAGATTGCATTCTGTGTTTTCAAGCAAGTAAATTGATTTTTTAGAAACTTAATCAAAAGTGAAGATCTATGATATATAAAAAGCCCATAAGATAGACAGACAAATTAAATATGTTCATTTTCCCACTAAATTATCTTTTTTTTTTTTTGAAAAGCACAGCCTGCTTATTAAGATTGCATCTTCATCTTTTTATCCCTTTTATAAGGAATTGTGGTCCTTCCACCTTCGAAAGCGCACCGAACTGAACCGGACGAGGCATTGCGGAAGCCGTTGCATCGGAGGTAAACACGTGGAAGACACAGTCCCCCGCGTCATGGAACTCAGTCTGGCCGAACAAATGACACAGATCCACAAACCACCACGCTGCAGAGCGGAATGAGTCAGGCTCTCGCTTAGGACTAAATGTGCGAAAGGAGCGGAGGCTTCCTCCAGCTCAAGTAGGTCGGCGGAGGGGGGAGGTGGCCTTTGAGATGGGATGTGAGTCAGGGCTGCTTCTCGGTATGTCCAGTTAAGAAAGTATACAAACTTAAAAAAAAAAAAAAAAAAAAAAAAGTGTGCGGTCATTCATTCCTAACAATTATTCACTTTCAGTTGAGTATTTGCTTACAAGTAACAGTGTTGGTGATGTAAAACAGAAAAAGCCAACAAAAGATAGAGAAAAGGCCTAACATTTGTAAAGGGTGACTTTTTTCAGCCCTGATATAAACAAATGTTGAATTATTCATTTCTTTTGACTAGAGGCCAAAATAGTAAACTGGAGATAAGTTTTCTCAATAACTTGAAGCTATGAGATCATATTTCAGTCCAAAATGTAATATCACACCTTCTCTTCCAAATTCTTCCTATCCTGTTTAAGGCCAATCCCCTGGGGAGGTCCTCGTGATGAATACTGAGGCTGAGGAAGTTGATGGAGGAGGAGGGCGGTCTGAGTAGGACGGTGGTGGGCAGGTCACCAAATCACAGCCTGTGTCCTGCCCAGATCCCAGCCCTGAGCTCCAGACCCAGCACCCAACCACCTATCAACCCCTCCACTTCCCAGCCTCAGCGCACTTCCAGCACACCGCACAGCACTGAAGTCACCACTGCACTTTCTCCCGTTCTCCAGCTCCCCCAATAATACACCCCAAACCTGGACATCATCCCTGATTCCGTCCCCTCTCTTCTCAACCATCGTTACCATGACCAGCACCATTTTCCTGGATGTGAACTAACAGGAGCCAGTTACTGGGCCAAATGCTTTGTATTTTCTCATTTGATCTTTATAAAACTACTATGAAATAGGCCTCTTATCTGTATTTTACAAAAAAAGAAAAGAAAGGAAAAGAAAAGGAAAGGAAAGGAAAGGAAAGGAAAGGAAAGGAAAGGAAAGGAAAGGAAAGGAAAGGAAAGAAATTATTGCTCAGGAAAGTTAGGTACGTTTCTCAAAAGCACAGTTTGTGGTAGCAGCCAGGTTTCTCTGTCTACAAAGCCCACAGGTCCACCACTGCCCAAGGCATCCCTCTCGTCCTGCTCCATCCTTTCTCTTTAGTATCCTTCGTCCCTTTTCCTCCTCTGTTCCCACCACCACTACTCGAGATAAAACCTAATTTCTCACCAGTTTTACGGGAACAACCTTTATCCCTGAGCCTCAAATAGCTCTTCTCTAAATTGACACCCAGGAACACATTCGGAAATGGGGCCCTGAACCTCAGGTGCCTGCAGGTCCCAGGCATCGGCCAGAAGCAGCAGCAAGCTGCATGGTCAAATGAAATGCATGCTCCTTCCCGATGGGGCAGCTGCTAAGCGACAGACTACGCTGCAATGCAGCTGCTGATTTTTTCAAAAAGCCTGATACCTGCCCTGGCAACTATTCTTTAAAAAATGTTAAAATACTCTGTAAGTGAAACCAAATCCAACTATACGTCAGATCTGACCCATCAGCACCAGCTTAAGACCTCTGAAATATAAAGTTGATTATGGGCTGTCCCTGCTTAAAATCTTTACAATGCTCCTCTACAACTCTTGCAGAAAAGCCAGTCTAATAAGATGACATCAAAGGCCTTCCCCGAGCCTGCCCATCCTTACTTATTCCACAGCATCTCTCATCAGATGCCCTTCAAGCACATCCCCCGGCGCTGGACTAGAGTTCTTACATTTCCCGGAGCGAGCCCCTTTGCCCTGTGGTTTCTGAAGTTTTAATGCCTTTTTTCTATCTGGCCAGGGTGCCCGACACTTGACTCATCCTTCAGGACTTAGCTGGGCCACTAGTCCTTCAACTCCTGGTCTGGGATACACCCCCTGAGACATGCTCTACCTCAAAACACACCTGTATCAAAACACAACTCTCATCAACGTTGTCATCATCTGTGGTCCTTCAACACTGACCATACATGACAGGAATGCCCGTAGCTTCATCTTACTGATGTGGTGTCTGTCGTGGTTGGCCCACAATCAGGCAGATACTAGCACTTGATATATGTTGAATAAATAAATCAACTGAATAGCACTGAGTGTATGAAATCTTCCTTGATCCTCTCCAGTTAGAAAGCATTCTTTCTCTGAACAACCCCAACTCTTTATTCCTAACTCTTTCCTATCTTAGAATACTGGAAGGAATGGGACAGCAACGCACCAAATCAGCTCCTTGCAAGCAAGAGTCCACGTTTTACCAATCTTCGTATCTCTCCCAGCAACCATCTTAACTCCTTGCCTCTAGTAAGCTCTCCAATGCTTGTCACATTAATCACAGTAACTCCAAATGCAATTTTAGTCTGTGAAGTAAGTGTGCGTCAAGTAAATCACAGGATCTGTGGTTGTAATGCTACAGTTAAATTCTAGTTCCTTCAGTTCCTTTTCTTTGGGTTAGATAACCAAAACTGTACTCCACTCTGAGGTTTGCATACTGTCTCCTTTTCACTGCTCTTTGAGTTACACACACACACACACACACACACACACACTCACTCACAAAGTATTCATTTGCAAAAAGCAATGAGAACTTCATTAGAGAAGTGCCTATTTTCAGAAGATGGGAAGGGTAAACAATCTGTATTTAAAAACATGCTTTACTAAGGACACTACAAGAGGCCCTCATAAACACAGTTCAGAGTTCATTTGTTCTGTATATCACCACACACTAATAGTAGCAAACGTTTATCAAGCCAGCAACAATCTTGCAAAATAGGTTTAGAGAGTAGGAAATTGTGGCTCAGAAAAGTTAAATAAATAAATATCTCATGGTCCTGTACCGGGTAGAAAGCCCACCCTCTACTCTCTCTCTGACACTGCCCCCCTAACCCAATCCATAGCTCAGCCAGTTAATTCTGTAACTGTTAGACATTATAAGATACAGACACTTGAACATTTTAAGTCTCCCTGAAGAAATTCCTTAACTTTATTTCTAGCATTACCAATTATGCTCCCTAATGCTATCAAAATCCTTTCTTTCATCTATCAGGTTAAAGTATGTTGTCTTCTTGGCACCAATTTAATTACATAGAATTTTACATATTTCACCAAGATTTTCCACTGAAGTGTCAGTGGGGTGATTTGTTAAGTGGCATTATTCACTTCCAAAAATGCTTTAAACAAGGAGAATGTGTACTTGTCTCAAAAAGAGCAGCATGAATAGTTGTAGGTGCTAATATAATATCTTATATCTTTTATACAAAAAAATATTTCTTACCTGAATTTTTCCATGAAGAATTAATATGAATACAATTCCCTCAGGTTAATGATAGGCTGGTGTTAGTAATTTCATTTGGTGAACTTTGTGGGTGTTTTAAAATTTGCTTCTTTAAGTATTAAAAATATAAACTGTCCTTTAGGTTAGAATGGAGGTCAATTTATTAGATTGACAAAACAAAAGAAAGAAATTACAAACTGAAAGGGAAAAGTTTAATGTAATAACTGAAATAGAATTAATTTAGTATGATTATGAACAGAATAAACATATCTCTAAGGAGCATAGTTCTCCCCCACAAAAGCAACTCAAAAAAAACCACAACTAATGTTAAGTTTGATTAATTTTGTGAAGTCATTATTTAGAAGTTATGCCTTTCAAGACATATATTAGGAAAATTATTGCAAGAAATATGTTCATCTAACCTTTGAGCTGGCACCTTATCCTGGCTATTCTCTGCCTTAAGACGTAGAAAGCTGCAAAACAAATGTCCAAAAAAAGAAATTCCAGATCTTTTCTCTGTAAGGAGGCGGAACTTGGGTATTTATCAACTTGTTACATTCCCGGAGACTTACACATATTCAACTTTCAGTGCTTTTCTGAAACAAAACAAAAAAATCTAGGACATGTTTAAAATAGTTATATTTTAGTCACCATTTTGTCATTTTGTAACAAAACATTTTGTAACAAAAATATTAACCAATAAGTGAAGTTGTGCTATTCTTTCATAGTCCAAATTCTAAGTTAAAATATTCAGACCTTTTGTGACACTGTACCTTCCAATCCAATTTTTCACTTTCAGAATATTAATTTTTGGTTCCAAGAGACAGTATCCTTTTATTTAAATGTGTGTTGGACAAAGTATCTGAAAAAAATTAAAACCTTTGATCAATTAGTAACCAGGGCTGATAGTTTTTAAATTGGATATATCTTTACTTACCTGTTTTCTTACATACTGTATGTTCCCTTTTCTCTTCAAATTTGGGGAAGAAATATTAAGGTTTTTTTGTGTGTGTGTGTGTGTTTTTCTTTCCTTCCACAGCATTTTCTTCTTGCATGGCTGCTTTGGTTGTCCATAGCAACAAGAATTACCCCGAAAGCTCAGCCATTTCACTTAAAGGATACATAAATAACTGTTTAATGAAAGCAAATAAAAGAAACTTGAAACACGACTAATAATGGTCAGGATTCGACCAGCCTAAAGATCCTAGAGGTAAGGGAAGAGATGATTTCATTACTTTTCTTTTGCATGAACATCTTCCCTCCTTCCGTAAAGCATAGAATACTCACTTTAACTTTCTATTTGCATATTGATTTGTAGAATTTAAAATTATATGAATAGAGCCTTCTTTTGGGGTACCAGCAAAAGAAAACAATTCTAAGTTCAATTTGATTCAAATGAAATAGTAATTTTATCAATGCAAAATTATTGCTCTATATTTTTAATAGCACACATTAGATTTACTTGTTAGAGATTTTTTTTTTTATGTGGGTTAGGCTTATAAGAAATTAGTGGAGACTTTTCACTGTTTTCAACTTCAGAAGAACTCACCATACCTTGACGTTGATACATTTCTTAAAATAGATAGTGAAATATATCAGGTACAATCTAAACAAAAAGCTGAAAATAAATCAAAGCATAAACTAAAAATTAGATTCCAGATCACATATCAAGAACAATTGTTTATAACAATGGTTCTATATGAGAAGGGAAAAATATAAAAGGATACCGTTTCTTTAATACTCTTTAATTGCCAATTTTGAATAATCTGATTTATCAAGAAAAATATGTTAAATGATTTTAAACAAAGATTAAACAAACATCATTTATTGTAAAGAATAGCAAACATCGTTATTTCCTAACAAGCAGCCAAACAGTTCTGTATAGTTTATTTTCATTTTATAATACCTTTAAGTTGGGCCACATTTCTCCTACTTAACAGAAGTCAGCCTTGACACTCAGAGCTTTAGTGAATTTTATAATATTGGTATATACACATCCATTAATAAGACTTTTAGCCTGAAATTTTAGCCAATTCTCCATATTTTAACACTCGCATTTTAAAACTGCACAAAACTGCCCTTTAAAGAAATGTTAAACCTGGAAGGGGTTATTTCCAGGGAGTTTCTGGAGCCTATTTTCTATTGACACATAGGGAAATTTTCATAGGCGACCATCACCATGATCTTTGTAAAGCTGCCAAAAAGAAATGCCCTACATGTATTTTTCTTGCATGTGGTATAAACACCACTGTGAGGAGCACTGAAATAGGATTCATTAGTAGCACCTAATATAGATGATCCTGTCCCATTTCCTCCTAATAATCTGTTTTCTTTACAGCCAGTGTAAACCAGCCACAGGAGTACATACAGGCAATGTTACCAGCAAACCCACTCAGTTACAATTCACAGATCTAGTGCCCTCTCCTGCCACTTGCCCGAGTATCGCTGCTTAGATGCATCTGTGGCTTCTCAGGGGTGCTGTGCACTTACTGAGGGTTCTCAGGGATGTTAGGCATACTTAAAAATAATAAGCCCTCTGGCGACCTTATGAAATTGTGACTAATATAAACCAGAGAAACTAAATTATTCAGGGATTACTCCTTGCATGTTAAAACACAGGCTTATAGATTTGCAGGCAATCCTGGGCTGTGGACCTGTGGACGGCGTTAAAGAAAATGAGGGATAAGAAGCCCCAAGGAACTGAGCCTGCTTACAACCCAAATGTAAGTCTATTGTCTGATATATAATTCAACTTACTGTAAAGGATTATAAAATGCCCAAATAGGCCAATCATAATCATTGAAAAATAAATAATAAGATGCTGCAGGCTAAGATAACTGATGCAGTTTCCATGTGGCTCAGACAGGACTCACACGGCCTCTTGAGCAGAGAACACAGCATGACACAAGTGCCTCCTTCCAGGTGACAAGTGCCAGGGACATGCATGGAGGGGAAAGGTCCCTCCTGACACTGTGCATCTACCTCTCAACCCTAGTCTTTAGCTAGAAAAAGTAGTGACTCTAAAAATCCTCCATGTCCCAACTTTAAATGTCATGCCATACTTCTCATTGTTAAAAAAAAGTTAATATTAACTAGACCACCAATTTACACCATACACAAGAATAAACTTGAAACAGATTTAAAAAAAAAACACACAAAACTTAAATGTAAGTCACAAAACCATAAAAATCCTAGAAGAAAACATAGACAGTAAAATCTCAGATATCTGGTGTAGCAATATTTTTTGCCACTATATTTCCTAGGGCAAAGGAAAAAAACAAATGGGACTGCTGAAGCTGATTTGGCTCAGTGGTAGAGCGTCGGTCTGTGGACTGAAAGGTCCCAGGTTCGATTCCGGTCAAGGGCATGTACAATACATTGGTTGCGGGCACATCCTCAGTAGGGAGTGTGCAAGAGGCAGCTGGTCGATGTTTCTCTCTCATTAACATTTCTAGCTCTCTATCTCTCTTCCTTCCTCTCTATAAAAAAATCAATAATATATATATATATATATATATATATATATATATATATATATATATATATATATATTTTAAATGGTATTACATCAAGGTAAAAACAAAAACAAAAAACAAACAAAAAAAAACTTCTACCTAGCAAAAGAAACCATCAATAAAATGAAAAGGGAATCTACTATGTGGGAGAACATATTTGCTAATGATACATCTGATAAAGGGTTAATCTCCAAGATATATAAAGAACTTTTACAACTCAACATCAGGAAGACAAACAATCCAATTAAAAAACGGGCAAAGGACCTAAATAGACACTTTTCTAAAGAAGGTACACTAGTACATATGGCCAATAAACATACGGGGGGAAATGTTCAGCATCACTAATCTTCAGAGAAATGCAAATTAAAACTATAATGAAGTATCAACTAACACCTTACAGAATGGCTATTATCAATAAATCAATAAGCAGCAAATGTTGGAGAGAATGTGGAGAAAAGGGAACCCTAGTCCACTGTGGGTGAGAATGCTGACCGATGGCAACTTTTTTGGATGAAACCAAAACAATATGGAGTTTCCTCCAAAAATTAAAAATGGAACTGCCTTGCCTGGCTAGTGTAGCTCTGAGGTTGAGTGGCAATCTGTGAACTAGGAGGTCACGGTTCGATTCCCAATCAGGGCACATGCCTGGGTTGCAGACTCAATGCCCAGTAGGGGGAGTGCAGGAGGCACTCATTATTGATGTTTCTCATTATTGAGAAACATCAATAATGAGATGTTTTTTAACAATGAGAAGTATGGCATGACATTTAAAGTTGGGACATGGAGTATTTTTAGAGTTACTACTTTTTCTAGCTAAAGACTAGGGTTGAGAGGTAGATGCACAGTGTCAGGAGGGACCTTTCCCCTCCATGCATGTCCCTGGCACTTGTCACCTGGAAGGAGGCACCTGTGTCATGCTGTGTCAAACATTCTCATTATTGATGTTTCTATCTCTCTCTCTCTTTATTCCTCTCTGAAATAAATATTTATTTAAAATAAATATTTTTTTAAAAAAAGAAAAGTTTTTTAAAAATGGAACTGCCTTTTGGCTCAGTGATCCCACTTCTAGAAATATATTCTAAAAATCCTGAAACCCTAATCTGAAAGAATATATGAACCCACATGATCCTAGCAGCATTATTTACAACTAGATGCCTGGTGCACAACATTTGTGCCCTGGGAAGTCTGGGGGGTCTCTTAGCTGGCCTGTGCCCTTTCACAGTCTGGGAGCCCTTGGGGGGTGTCCTACTGATGTCTTTGACCTGCTCCCCACGGAGTGGGCCTAACCTGGCAGTCGGACATCCTTAGCGCTGCCACTGCCACTGTGCTCACCAGCCTTCAGCCTGATCTCTGGATGAGCAGTGTTCTCCCTTTGGGAGTGCACTGACCACCAGGCGGCAGCTCCTGCATTGAGTATCTGCCCTCTGGTGATCAGTGTGGGTCATGGCGACTGGTTGTTCTGCTGTTCCGTTGATTTGCATATTACCCTTTTATTATATAGGATAGCTAAGGTATGGAAACAGCCAACATGCCCCTCAGTAGATGAGTGAATAAAAAAAGCTGCGGTACATACACCATGGTATACTACATGGCTGTAAAAAGAAGGAACTTTACTCTTTGTGACACCATAGATGGATCTGGAGAGCATTATGTTAAGTGAATAAGCCAGTCAGAGAAAGGCAAATGCCATATAATCACACTTATATGTGAAATCTAATGAACAAAATAAACTGATGAACAAAACAGAACCAGAGGCATGAATACATGGAACAGACAGGTCTCGGAGGGGAGGGAGGTGGAGGAGACTGGGAGAGCTTAGCTAAAGAACATAAGTGCATAGCCCTTGGACACAGACAACAATGTGATGAAGGCTGGGAGGGGGCATGAGGACTAGGTGAAGGGAGGCAAATGGGAGGAAAATGGTAGCCATCTGTAATTGTGTCAACAATAAAAATGAT